CCACCGTGCATTCCCTCATGTGCTGTGGAAAAGTAAGAAGGACAAGACAGACACGCAGAAACAACAGATGGAAAGAAAAGAAGTAGGACCTGCCGGTGGCACCCTCAAATCCCCAGCAAATAAAGTTGCAAGAAATTGAGTACATTAATCCTACAAATAGAGCTTGTCACCACTAGAAACTGAGCTTCACGGTGTTAGAAGTTAAGCTCGTCACAGGCAGATATTGGGCTTTAGGCCACTACATACTGAGCTTGTTGGTAAAAAAATTAAGCTCCTTGCAGCTAAAAACTGAGATCACCCTCCATGCTACAAATTCAGCTCCTTCCCTGTGTTCTAGCAATCTCCTCCTCCTTGCAAGAAATTAAGCTCTTCTTCCTCACAGGAAATTAAGCTCCTCCTCTGTGCTAAAAATTATAAGCTCCTCTGGCTAGAAATTAAGCTCTTCCTCTGTGCTAGAAATTAAGCTCCTCTGTGCTAAAAATTAAGCTCCTCTGAGCTGGAAACTAAGCTCCTCCTCCATGTTCTAGCAAGCTCCTCCTCCTCGCTTAAAATTGAGATCCCCCTCCCCCCCCTCCCCCTCAAAAATGTTTTAATTGGGAAGCTAATTGCTGGCTAGAAGTCGAGATCATCATCACTCTGGCTGTCCAGGGAGGCGGGGTCGTCGACCCCCAGGTGCCGCATAGTGCCGGGGAGGTTCAGGTAGTGAGGCTTGTGCTCCTCGGGCGGGATGCGAACGCTGCGCACCGTGTTGGTGAAGCCAGGCCCGGACTGGAAGCCCGTCACCAGGATGGCTGGGGAGTGGAAGTTGAGGGAGGAAGTTGTTGGGTTTTTTTCGTCTTGTTTTCAGTGAGAGTTTTTACACAGCATGGCGCTTGCAAACCCACGCGCAATTAGGTCGTACAAGTGCTGGTTTATGTTGTATTTAGTACCAGTTTTACAGCTCTTGTAACACAATTAGGTCATAAAAGTGCCGTTTTATGTTTTATTTAGGAAGAGTTTTACAGCTCATGTAACACAATTAGGTCTTCTAAGTGCCAAAGATTAGAGGTGTTACATGAGAGTAACAAACACGCAAAAGAAATGAAGGAGGAGAGACCAGGACGATAGATATTTCATAGAAAAAAGGAGCAAACCACACCAGAGCACCCGCCAACCACTCGCTTAGTGAGTTTTACAGCCCTTGAAACACAATGAGGTCATATGTCATCACTGTCGCAAGCAATCTATGTAAGTCCAAATTTTGAGAATGTTTAAGTTTTACACCCTCCCAAAGCTCTATCAAAGATGTACCTCTCAACATCACCACAATGCAGATTAATGGTACGGTCAAGGCTTACAATTTCCTTGCTTTCCAAGATTCCTGATAGTAACAACATGACAAAAACTAGGTTTTTTTGTCTCTGGTGTAAAACGTACGTACATGGACTTGAAAGGATTGCTTGTCACACTGACAATGTGCTGTTTTATGTTTTAGCATGAGTTAAGCGGCACTTGCATCACAATTAGGTCATATAAGAGCCGAAGATTAGATGCGTTACAAGAGATTAACATACGCCCAAAAAAAAAGGAGGAGAGATAAGGAAGACAGCAGATGTTTTTGTTTTTTTAAAGTTTTAGTAGAAGTTTTACAGCGCTCCCAGCTGCATAAGGTCATATGAGCGCCAGAAGATTAGAGCTGTTACAAGAAAGTAACAAACATAAAAAAGAAGAAGGGGAGATAAGGACGATAGATGTTTGACAGGAAAGAAGAAGCAAACCACACCAGAGCACCCGCCAACCGCCCACAGCAGATGTTTAGCAGAAACAACAAAGAGAAAGAAAAGAAAGAGAGAGAGAGAGGGGACTCCACACAACCAGTGACGGAATAAACCAGAAGGAGACTCACCTGTCTCCCCAGTCTTGACGTAGCCCCGTTCCCGCGCTCGCTGCAGGGCGTAGTGAATCCTCATGTCCACGTCCATATACCACTCATCACAGCTGGCTCCTGCTCAAACAAACAAACAAAACACACTTAAGAGTATGACTTTACTTTACTTTACTTTACTTTTCCGATCCAGCGGCCATTTGGGTTCTAGCCCTTCGGTCTGTCGATATGGCAAAGAATTTGCAGGTTTTAATCACATGTGCTTTGTCGCTGTATAGAGTATGACAGAGGTGTCAAATTCGCCTCCTCAGAAGTATTTCGTCCAAAGTGTACTAACTATAGGAAGCACTTCAGACAAAAATAGTTCTGAGGCGACGGAACGGCAACAAAAACAATCCTGAACTTATCGACCTCACGCATGGGGACTCAAAATTTACAAAAAATATTGTCTGAGGCACGGGTGTTTGACTAAGGTTCGCAGGCCGCATCCGGCACCCCATACAATCAGATCCTGCCCACGAAATAATTTTAGGTAGTGCCTTCTGGGGACATAATCACACAAGTCTAGGGTTTATAAACAAAATAAAAATGTAAAACCAGAAATAAAACAAACAATAAAACAACAAAATATGTGAGGCAGCGTGGTGGAATCAGGCTCTCGTCAAAATAATCAAAGTGAAGAAACTTGCATTTTTCCTCAGGTTTGTGAATTTTTATAAAGTTTTTGTTTTTTGGCTCAACAACTTTCATGCCCATTAAAGAACTAATTCCGGTGTGGATTTTTCTGAAAAACGTTGATTAAAAGCACAAAAAAGTAAATTTTCTGTTACCACCGACTCTTAAGTTAAGGAAATAACTAATCTTTGGAGGCCATTTTCTCAATAATTTTACCTCTGAAAACAGATAACCCCACCTCCTTCATTCGCAAATATCTCGACTTGTATTCAAGATAAATGGATATTTTTTTCATCCAAATAAAGACAAGTGAACAAGCTATAAGATGATATCAATAACTCTACATGCCCAAAAATTGACGAGAGCCTGATTCCACCACGCTGCCTCACATATTGTATTAAAACCTTTCTGACAAAGACTACAAGTTAGAAATCTGACATGCGTGCACCACTACGTCTATCTTAAGGAAAGAAAACAAATAGAAAATAAAAAAAATTTTAAACCCTCTCTAGCAAAGACTACCAAATTAAAAATCTGACATGTGTGCACCACTACTTCTATGTTATGGAAACAAAACAAACAATGAAATAACCCTCTCTAGCAAAGACTAATAGATAAAAATCTACCTGTGTGCACCACTTCTTCCATCTCAAAGAAATAATACAAACAATAAAATGTGTCACGACGCGGTGGAATCAGGCGCTTGTCAATTTTTGGGCATGTGGAGTTATTGGCATTATCTGAAAGCTGATTTATTTGCCTTGCTTCTTATGAAATAAATATCCATCTATCTTTAATAGAACTCAAGATATTTGCTACTGAAGGAAGTGAGGTCGTCTGGTTTTAGCGCTGAAATTAGTGAGAAAACGGCCACCAAAGTTTGGTAACTCCAATAGCTAAGGAGTCCTTGAAAACAGAAAAACGACATATTTTCTGCCTTTAATCAATGTGTTTCAGTAAAATTCACATGGAAATGCGTTTTTATATGCACATAAAAGAGGTTGAGCCAAAAAATAAAAATTTGATAAAAATGTCCAAACTGCCGGAAAAATGTCCGTTTCTCCGATTTCTGTATTTTGACGAGCGCCTGAGTTCACCACGCTGCCTCACAAATAACAAAAAAATGTTTTTTAAAAACTCTAGCGAAGACGACCAAGTAAGAAATCAGACCTGTGTGGACCACAGAGAAGACGCCACGGTACAGGTTTAGGCAGCGGGCCGTGTGGATGGACTTGGTTACAGCGATGACCACACAGTGAGGACGGTACTGGGCGATGTCCATGGCTGATCTGTGAAAAAAAACCCCACACAAAGTGAGAGGGGCGGGGCGGGTGGAATTTAAATAAAAATATCACCTCATTCATTCTTTTCAGAAATTTCTTCTTTTTTTTTTTTTGGGATGATTGAGTCTGAGAGAAAAGAAGAAAAAAAATAAAAATAAAAATATCACCATATTCATTCTTTTCAGAAATTTATCTCTCTTTTTTTTCTGATCGAGTTTAAGTAAAGAGAAGCACACAGACACAATACACAATCTAAATTGTGTCCTTGGGGGTGTAAAACATTAAAACTATATAAAGTCAAACCAGCTCTAGTAGCCACCTGTCCAAGACTATCACTTGTACAAACGACCACTTCCCATTTCCCCCACGGCATTCTTTAACTATCATTGCAACACTGTTCAAAGCGTCCACCTGTCTAAGGCAACAACTTTTCTCCTCCAACTCGGTGCCCCCCTTGGACAATCTCCACTGTCCGTGGCCTAGTGGTAAGGCTCTCGGACTCATAACCATTAGGTGGTGAATTCGAATCCCGTCAGGGGCCCCACGTTGTGTCCTTGGAAAAAGAACTTTATATAAATTTTCCTCACTTCATCCAGATAGGAATGGGTACTAAGCTATAGACAGCAAAAGACCTTGTCAGTTTGTTAGTGTTTGAGCGTATGTGATCCGCAGCTTGCACTGTATGATTCCTGGGAAGCCGAGAATGTTTCGGAGTGTTTTATGGTATGCTGGGGCGGGGTAATAATAGTTGTAAAGTGAATAAAGCATGCTGTAGAGGGTGGATATGCACTATATAAATGCAAGTATAATAATAATAATAATTATAATTAATATTATTATTTGTAAAAAATAATTTTTTATTATTTTTAAAAAAATGATTATTAATTAAATTACGGACAAGGACAACTTTTAAAAAATCTTTTTTCCAACATTCCCACCTGCCAGAACTCGTAATGACAACAATGGCCGAGGCATGACAACGTAGAGCAGCCTCCACTGCAGCTATGGCGGTGGCGCGTGGTTTGTCTGTGGGCAGAGGGGTGACGTTGCGGATCTCGGTGAATGCCTTGGCGTGGTACACGGCATTCTCAGCCTCCTGACAGACCTGACCACAGAAAGACAAGACGGGTTGACCGTAGAGTCTCAATTATATCAAGACTGTGCCATGGTCATTGCTTGTGGTTTTGAGAACACGACAACAACAAAACAATGCTCATCTAAGTCAACCTAATGAGTTGAGTGAAAGTTGAAAGTGAAAATGTCTCAAAAATTGAATTTTTAGTACACAAAATAAAACCCTAATTTAATATGAAAATGAAATTTAAAAACTCAGGTATTTTAACCATACCAATAACTGTGATGTTGGTGGCCTAGTGGTTAGGCTCCTGGTCTCGCAACTATAGAGTCATGGATTCAAATCCCATCAGGGGCCCGATGTTGTGTCCTTCGGTAAGGAACTTTACACCAATTTTCTTCACTACTTCACCAAAGCCGGAATGAGTACCCGGCTACAGACAGCAAAAGACCTTGCCAGTTTGTTAGATTAGAGAGCGTGCAATCTGCAGTTTGCACTGTATGCTTCCAAGGAAGTTGAGAATGTTTCTGAGTGTTCTAGGGTGTCCTGGGGTAAAAATGGTCGTAAGGTTCATAGAGCAGTCTGTAGAGTGCGGATATGCCGGGGTAATAATGGTCGTAAAGTGCATAGAGCAAGCTGTAGAGCGTGGATATGCGTTTTATAAATGCAGTTACTGTTATTTATTTTTACATAACTGTCAATAACGACAAAACTGGAAAAAAACAACAACAGGCAATTGTATTCTGACCAAGAGGATAATATGCGGTGGGATCGACCATAAGGATATGTGAGGCATAGTGGTGAGATCAGTCAGATGCTCATTAAAATAACGAGCAGCATTTTTCAGCAGGTTTCTCAATTTTTATTCAATTTTTTATTTTTGGCTCATCACCTTTTATGTCAATTCAAGAACACATTTCAGTGTCGATTTTACAGAAAAATGTTGATTAAAGGCACACAAAATGTAAACTTTCAGTTTCCAATAACTCTCAAGCTTTGGAAGTCACCAAACTTTGGCAGTCATTTTCTTGTTAATTTTACCGCTGGAACCAGTAGAACCCCAGCTACTTCGGTTGCAAATATCTCAAATTCTATTCAAGACTGATGGGTATTTTTACAAATTGAAAGCAAGACAAATGAACAAACTTTGAGATGATACCAACATCTCCGCTTGCACAAAAATTGAAAAGAGCCTGATCCCACTGCGTCATGACATACAGTTAAACCTGTGTAAGACGGCCACCACCCATTGTCAAGGAGAAAAGTGTCCGTCTGAGGCAGGACTGATCAAAATGAAGAAAACAAACCGTTAACTTTTGAGGTCCCAACCGCGAAGGTAGCCGCATTGTTGTTGTTGTTGTTTTCGTTGGTTTTTTTTTTTTTCAGTTTGTTGTTGATTTTGTGCAAGGGTGACAATAAAACGAAATGTGTCAGAGGAGGAAGACCGAGTGCCATGGTAAAACAAACACATGGGTCGCCACCACTCAGAGAACGGGCGACACTTCTGGAGCAAGTTCATGTTGACATCCATTGTTAAAGACTGGGTAAATAGTGACTGGTCACCTCACTTACGGTTTGCGTACGAGTTCTGGGAGGGGCTTATGGATTATAAAGGATCACACGCTTACGGTGGCTTACCTCACCAGCAGCAGAAAATTTGTGACCTATTGGCTATAGATCAACAGTAAGAAGGGTCTAGACATCCTGATCGTTCAAGATGATGATGGATGATGGGTGAGGGGGGGGCTGGTTATTCTTTGAATTTCAGAGAAAGGGGAGAGGGGGAAGGGGCATTTTTTGCTTAGTCTTTCAACTCACAGAGTTCAAGGTCTTCACTGCTGAGACAGGATAACGCCCAATAGCAGTCTCTTTCGAAAGCATCACGCAGTCAGCCCCGTCAAGAATGGCATTGGCCACATCGCTCGCTTCGGCACGCGTCGGCCTCGCATTGGTCACCATACTCTCCAGCATCTGAGGACAAATAAGGTCACGGAAAATGAATACTGGCAGACGTAAAGGAGCGGGTGGTTGGCAGTTGCACTGATGTGCTTTGCTCTTTCTTTCCTATCAAACATCTATCATCTTTATCACTCCACCTAAATCTGAAAGGATAGAGGGTAAGGGAGAGGATGGGGTAAGGAAGAATAAGGGAGCAGAGGAAGGGAGAGGGACAGGGGAGGATAAGGAGAGGAGAGAAGGGGGGGGGGGGTCACAGTTGTTTGACTTTGTCTTTTTTTTCGGGGTGAATCATTATCTTCGAAGAATTATTAGATTGAGCGGAAAAGATGGTTGTCAATGTGTGTTTGTGTGTGTGTGAGTGGGGGGAGGGTGGGATATGCTTAGATATGATGGGGGTTGATTTTACTTTTACTTATTGTTCAACTTTAAAATTTAAAATTCCAGGAGAAAATGTTATTTCCTTCAATTGTTCTTCTTTCAATTCAAAGATTCCAGGAGAAAAATGTATTTCCTTAAATAGTCCTACTTTCAATTCAAAGATTCCAGGAGAAAAATGTATTTCCTTCAATTGTTCTACTTTCAATTTAAAGATCTGTGGAGAAAAATATATTTCCTTCAATTATTGTTCTACTTTCAATTTCCAAACTCCATGTTACCTGTGAGGCACAAATGACTGGCTTGCCAGCCCTGTTGGCTCGTGCTATCATCATCTTCTGCGCCAGGAACACCTTCTCAGGCGGGATGTCAATGCCAAGGTCACCGCGCGCTACCATGATGCCATCAGCCACTTTCAAAATTTCATCCACGCTAAGAGGGAAAAAAATATGTAACGATTTATTGAAGAGGAAGTGTTGGTGAGACTGTTGGGAATTCATGTAGACTCCAACTTGTCAGTATGTCTCTCCCTCTCCCACCCTTCTTCTGCTCTCTCTCTCTCTCTCTCTCTCTCTCTCTCTCTCTCTCTCTCTCTCCTCTGTCTCTCTTTCTCTTCCTCTCCGTTTTGTCTCTTTCTCCGTTCTGTCTCTCTCTCTTCGTCTCCGCTCTGCCTATTTCTCTCTCCGCTCTGTGTCTCTCATTTCCTCTCCCTTTATCACCCTTCCTCATTCCCTCACTTTGTCTGTCTGTCTGTCTGTCTGTCTGTCTGTCTTTCTGTCTGTCTGTCTGTCTGTCTGTCTGTCTGTCTGTCTGTCTGTCTGTCTGTCTCTCTCTCTCTCTCTCTCTTTCTCTCATTCCGTCCCTTCCTCCTCACTCTTTTCCCACTTTCATCCAACATTACTCCATTGACAAGTTTTTAAAAAATCACGACACAAAAAAAAAAGGAAAGAAAGCCATCAACTAACCTTTTCACTCCCTGGTAGTTCTCAATTTTCGCGATGACCTTCACCCTGGCTGCCACTTCCTTGCCCAGCTCAGCCTTGACGGCCGCGACAAACTCTGGACTCCACACCCACGACACTAGCACAATGTCCACCTGCAAAGTTTTGGTCGACTGTTTTTGAACCAGCTCAGCATTTTCCCACCCACGCCATTTTCCCCTCTGTGACCCAGCCATTTTCCCCTCTGTGACCCAGCCATTTTCCCCTCTGTGACCCACCCAGCCATTTTCCCCTCTGTGACCCACCCAGCCATTTTCCTCTCTGTGACCCACCCAGCCATTTTCCTCTCTGTGACCGAGCCATTTTCCTCTCTGTGACCCACCCAGCCATTTTCCTCTCTGTGACCCAGCCATTTTCCCCTCTGTGACCCAGCCATTTTTTTCCAAAACAAATATGAGCACCAAGGGGTGGATGTCAACAGAGATGAGCTTACAGGGAATCAGGCTTACTCTGCTCGTACCCCTCTAGCTTCAACAGCACAAAGTCTGCTTCGACTATCAAGGCACCCCGGAAATAGCGGGTCACAAGAGTGTGACAAACATACAAAAGAAGAAGGGAAAAATGACAATAGTAAGGATGAGGAAAGAAAAAGCAGAAGTTCCCTGTTGTAGTTCATTCAGGCAGTTATGAGCATGACATTGATGAATCAGCCCATTTACAATTACAATTCTACTGTGCATAAGAACATGGTTAATGTCCCCCCCTTTAAGAATGGCCTAAAGACATTTCAATTTTAGTCAGTGCACTGCCCCGGGGGGTACCAAAACAAATCAACTACTAAGTCAAAGTCAAAGACTCCGCCATACTGTCACTTTTCAAAACGGCGTATTGTAAAGTTGTAAGATCTCCAGAAAGGCTGTGATATATGTTGAAGTCATTTATTACATACCTACACACATCACACAGGTTTATCGTCGAACATGGAGTAGGCCTAGCCTGAAGCGCACTGTACCAGAAAGCGAATAACACTAATAACAACCGAACATTTATATAGCCTACACGGTTAAGTATTCACTCATAACGAAGCATGAGCAAGCATCACGTGCCAGTTAACTACTTGTACTTGTAGTAATGCTAAAGTATGACAGAGTCTTACACTAGGCAGTCAAAATGCAACTGTAACAAACACAGTCATTATTTTGAGCCGGTCCACTTGACAGTCTACCACGATGTTTCTGTTTCCCCTGGATGATCTACCACCAGACTCCAGTCTACTACACTGTATACTAGTCTACTACAATCCACAATGCTAAAAGCTTTCCCTCTACATTTAAACAGGACTGAGACTATCATTGGTCGAATTAACAAATTCATTAACCTTAACCCTAGCCTTCGCTCTAACCCTAAAGCAGTTGAAAGGCAGTTATAACAAACAGTAATTTGTGCCGGTCCACTTGATGGTCAACCCTTACCTTCATCCTTACCCCTTAACTCTTAGTCCTTACCCCTTGCATCAATCCTAACTCTAACCTAACCCTAAGCCAATTTTGTCCAGCTGACACGGAGCATGTAGACTGTGACCAATCAGGTGGAACTTACAGTGGAACAGATAACTGCAGAAGACCATCAAGTGGACTTACTTTACTTTTTACTTTTTCATCCACTGTTTGTCGTTAAACAAAGAGATGGAAATGCAGTTTTCTATGGTAAACCAGCTCTGCAGCTCTTTCAATTGGGATGTTATAATCTCCCATGGTTTCCGTGACTCCCTAAATTAATCTTTTGCTTGGTCTTCCTCTTACTTCCTTTCATCATCATCATCCAGTGCCAGATCCGCGACAGACATCGGCAATCATGGTTCTCCATTCATTCCTTTGCTTGAATGCCCTTAAAAAAGCTACATTTCCCTGATCTATCCATGTTACCCTTTTTGTTTAGGTTCCGTAAGTAGGTTGCTCTGGGCCTACCCCTTCCTCCTTTGCCTTCAATTTTGCCAGTGAGAGCTAGATATTCAAGACCTTTATAATGTCTATTCAGGTGTCCCAAAAACTGCATTTGTCGATTCCTGATTCTTTTTAACAGTGAGCGTCCTATGTGGGCTTCATCAATCACTACCTCATTTGATTTCTTTTCCTTCCACAATATTCTCAGCAGTCTCCTAAGAAACCACATTTATGTTGCTTCTATTTTATTTTCACTGTCTTTAGTGATTGTCCAGCATTCACAGCCATACAGAAGGGTTGACCATACATAGCATTTCAGAACTTTCCTTTTGGTAGCCATTGAGATGTGTCTATTTTTCAAGATTGGGCTCATTTTATTGAAACTAGCCTAAGCCATTGCAATTCTCCGTTTTATTTTTGTGAAACATTTGGCATCAGATGTTATGTATTCTAGATATTTAAATAATTGGACTTGCCTTTGCAAATGAGATTACAAATAGGATTTACTGCTTTTTTGGATGTTACCATGCATTCTGTTTTCTTTACATTCAACAATAGTCCTTTACCTTCACTTTCTGTTACAACAGTATCTAGAAGCGATTGAAGGTCCTTTTCTGAGTTTGCTTTTAAAACTGTGTCATTGGCATATGTTATGTTATCAATGTTTTCGCCAGTCATTTTGAGACCTGGACATTCCTATATGTTTCTAAGGATTGTTTCACTGTATATGATAAAGATTCTTTAGTTTAGTTTTAGTTTAGTTTAGTTTTAGTAGAGGTTTACGGCATTCGCAACTGCGCCAGAAAATTAGAGGTGTTACAAGAGAGTAACAAACTTAAAAAAGAAGAAGGGGAGATAAGGACGATAGATGTTTCATAGGAAAGAAGAAGCAAACCACACCAGAGCATCCGCCCTGTCTGGTGACATATCACATCCTTGCCTCAGCGCTCTTCTAATCTGCTTATATTCACTGTATTCTCCATTAATTCGGGCAGCAGCGTTTTGGTCCCAGTACAAATCCCGGATAATTCTTAGATTTTTTCAATCTATGTCTAGCTTTTCCATTATCTTAAATAGCTTACTCCCTCTATAGCCTGATTAATAGGTGTTATAGGCTCTCAAGTGGACTTGCACCAAATAAATCCTTCTAAATCTTCCGAGGAAACCTTTTGAGTGTGTGCCTGGAGAAAGGTCCCAGTTTTCGGCAAAGGATTTTTTAAATAACCAGGAGAAAAGGCGAAAAAAGTCGTACCTGTCAAAAATGTAGATCCATCATAAAAAACACTTTTCAACGACTTTGACATCAAATTACTTTAAGGCAATTGCCAAAAACAGGCCTCATTTATTGGAATTTCATTCATTAGATGAAGAACTATCAAAATATGTTCACTTGTTTTGATTTAAATACCCATTTTGTGACATTTTTGTCATTTTTTGATTTAGTACCAAAGAAGGGGCCTGGCATAGTGGGTTTACCCCCCACGGAGACAAAGAGTTCCGGGCGAGGTCTTGTGAGCTAAAAAAATGTTTGTTCACTGACCTAAATACATGAATTTACCAAAGTAAGACTCAATGCCAAGGTGCGAAATGATTTAGGGTGTCATTCATGACATATATCACTCATTGTCATGGTGACAGCAGCCATCTTGAAAATAAACAAAAATCTTAAATTCCTAAAATCTCAAACACTAATCAAGATATTCTACTTTGTTAGATAGGAATGGAAAGACAGGACCTATATTGAGGTAATAGGGCGACTACTTTTTATATTTGGTTGTTTTCATGGATGTAGCATGACTTTGAATTTCACGATGTAAAAAAGTGTTGAAAATACACCCCCCAACCTGATATAAATGCTCATGCCCCCTGTCATGTACCAAGAAAGACAAAAATAACTAGCTCATTGCCCAGAAATATGGATAACCTATTACTGTGTCAAATTTCAAGTCTCGAGGGCAATAAGTAAGCAAGATTTTAGGATTTTCGTGGCATGCTGTCCATGAAAAACACAGTTCAGAGAAAATGGACATTAAAGTCAAAAATGACCAACTGTGATACTATTAGTAGCCATATGAAACAAAATTTCAGATACAACATGTTTATCTCAGCAAAATAATATACCGCATTTTATATCTAAACACATTTACCAAAAACGATCTTTTGACCCAATTGTGAATTTTCAGCCTAAGTCCCATCCAACCGCCCCCTTAACCATTTTTCAGAAACATATTGAAAGGATTTTATATTTCAAAGTCTAAACAGTTTGTATTAGTTATTTGTACAACATGCTGTTCTTCACCAAAGGTTAAAAATGTACTAGAAATTGGGGTTTTCTCCAAACTTTGTTTTCACATCCTGTCTTACAAAATGTGAAAATGTGGCATATCTTTGAAACTGCTCAAGATATTTGAAAAAAAAATTTTAAATTAGCGTGTTCACAATTTAATTTGCTAAAAGATTATGCCCTTATTTTAATATCGAAAATTTCTGACAGCTGGGACTTTTCACCAGGCATACACACAAACTTAAATATTACAATGAGAGGCCAGAATTCCATCACAACAGAAAAAACAGTGTTTTGATGTGTATTTCAATCCTCTGAGGACCGCTCATGTGGCTTACCCCACCACGGGGTGACAGAATCTGTTGACTGGCTATTCGTTACCCTAGAATTACAGAGTTCTATCTGCTCAATACCAAGTTTTGAAAAATCTGACATGAAATATTTTGAGTTTCACAACATGACAAGCTTTTTCGAATGCAGTTCTTTGATTATTTTGATAACGACTCCGAATAATCTTACGATTTAGAGAGAGCAGATAGAACATTCGGTTTCTGACCTCATGGTCTTAGAAACTCAGAATGGCCAAAAGTGTGAAATAGAACTTTGTAATTCTAAGTTAGTGTATTGCCTTTGTTTTGTGTAAATAACAGCCAAACCTGTTGTAACCGCCACATGTACAAGAAGACAATCACCGGTACAAACGGCCAATAAATTCTCATTTCCTCAAAAGTCTTTTTTTTACATGAAAATGACACTAGGTAAGATGGCCACCTGTCTAAGACCGCCACTTTTTTCTCAAGGATGGGTCAACGTCTTATCAATTTCAACAATAATATGTGATTCATTGTGGTGAAATCAGGGGCTCGTCAAAAAAATGAAATCGAAGAAACCAACATTTCTCCCCCGGCTAAGCAATTTTAATTGCATTTTTTTAATTTCCGTTTTTGGCTCAACACCTTTTATGTCCTTTCAAAACATATTTTTGTACGGATTTCACTGAAAACAGAGGCTAAAAAATTGTAAATTTTCAATTACCAAGGACTCTCAAGCTATGTAAGTCCCTTAACTTTGGCATCTATTTTCTCGCTAATTTTACCTCTGAAACTAGGTGACCCCCACTTAATCCAAAAATCACAAATATTTTATTTCTTCTCGAGATCGATGCATATTTTTTTTCGTCAAAAGCAAGACAAATAAACCAGTTTTAAGATAATATCAATAACTCCACGTGCCCAAAAAATGATGACAGCCTGATTCTTCCACATCATGACACATATGATTTTGTAACTTCTTCAAGCCTTTGCTGAAGCCAGAGTAAGTGAAATGTAAAAAAATGGACTAATAAAGAGGAGATTTTTTTTCTCCTTTCTGATAAAGAACATTCCTTACAACATTAAAAAAAACCTTGCACTGATTATTAACAGGTGTCTCACCAAACCTTTCTCGCCAGCAGATAAACACAACTGAAGACATATTATGTTATTGCATTCTTCATAATTTTTTGTGTAAGACAATCACCTGTACAAACGGCGACTTCCCATTTCCTCCTTTTCGTATTTTTGTACATTATAACAACACCCTGTAAGACGGAGACCTGTCTCATACCGCCACTTTTCTCTTCAACAATAGGTGGCCGTCTTCTACAGTTTCGACTGTACTCACATTGTGTTCCACGGCAAAAGCCAGGTCTTGCTTGTCTTTGTCTGTGAGTTGCGGCTGCAAGCAGGGGAGAGATCGGGGGATGTGGCACGGCTGGTGGCTTTTTATCTCCCCTGGGTTCACCACCACGCACGTCAGCGACGTCTCGTCTGGGAGAGAGAGAGAGGCAAGAAACATGGATGGAAGCAATTTTTTTTTCCAACTTCGTTTTAACAAAGCATTTTCAGCCCAAGCTTCTTTCAGTTTTTGCACTAGCAACTCGTTAATAGGGGATACAAGTGACGAATATAAAGGTATAACTACAAGAGAGTAACAGACTTAAAAAATAGGAGGAGAGATAAGAACAATAGACGTTAAATAGGAAAAAAAATTTTTAATCACATCAGGGCACTGACAACAACCCACGACTACATTTTAATTATGAATGGGCCCAGGCATCGTTAACATGCTTTTTAGTGTTACAGCATTTGCAATTTGTCATATAAGTCATGAAAATTAGAGGTGTTATGTGTGCTAAAAAGTACCCTTGAACCACCCACCTCTAACGTGTGCATTGGAGTACGGCTTACTTTAGTTTTAATCTAGTACATTGTGAGTTTTTCAGCACTTGCAACACAAATAGGCCATATAAGTGCCGAAAATGAGAGGTGTTACAACACAGTAAAAAAAAAAAAAAGGAAGGAGGAAAAACCAGGACGGTAGATGTTTGATAGGAAAGAAGGAGCAAACCACAGCACAGCACCCGACAACCACCAACAGGGATTACATTAAAACAGAAATGTGCAAGGCTAATGCATCTTTACTATGCTCTGGAGTAGGGATGGTATCAATAGCTCACAAAACCTACACAGCTGATGCCACATAATGCTAAATTTTATTTTGAGTGAAAACAAACAAATTTACAGGAAACAAAACTAATAGATAAATAATTAAAAGAATTGGACTGAATTGAACATAGTTTGAAACCTGACACCAAAAGCACACATACAAACACACTTACACACACATTAACACATACTTACACACACACACACACACACACAAACAACCACACAAATACTTACACATTTACACACACACGCACTTACACATTTACAAACACAAACACACACACACACCAACACACACACACACACACACATAAATACACACCAACACACACATACACAAACACACACAATGACTCAGCACCTTTCTCCAGCACTTCGAAGCTGAGGGGTCCGTACTCAATAAATACTTGGTTCCCGACCTCAGCCCTGGAGATAAAGCTCTGCTCGACATAAATGTTCTCCGCATCCATAGAATCCTTCAGGCTCGCCTCGCTGCTGAACTTTGCTCTCTGGCCACTGACAAGCTTAAGGGGTAGCTTCATGTCCTGAACCAATTCAAGAAGGATTGAAGAAAGTCTTTTAGTTTTAATAAGCGCTTTACGGCACTTGTAACACAATAAGGTCAGACATCAATAGTGCCAAAGACTTGCAGTGTTAAGTTGCAAGAGAGTAACAAACACAAAAAAAGGAGGAGGAGAGATCAGGAGAATGTTTGGAAAGAATAGAAGGAGCAAAACAAAACAGCCCATCCATCAACAACCTCCGGAGTGAAATTCATGTCTCCCCCCGCCCCCCCCCCCCCTTCCCCCCTGCAGTTTTTCTTTATTTATAAAGACACTGTCCAAGATCATTCATTCACCCTTCCAATGTTACAAACAAAGATCATGTCTCGTACGAAAAATTCATAAAGTGAGAAATACTGCAGGCATAGATCCACACAAAAAGGTCACAGAGTAACAAAAGTGAGGAGCATAGATCTACACCAGCTTTTAATCAGACAGGAAATATGTCAGGGGTTTATCCACTTAGTTTTATTTTTACTATGCGTTTTACGGCACTAATGACACAATAAGGTCACATAAGTGCCAAAGATTTGCGGTGTTGACAGCAGAGTTACAGACACAAAAAAGGAGGAGGAGGAGAGATAAGGACGATAGATCTTTGATAGGACAAAAGGAGGAAGCCACACCTGAGCATCTGTCAACCACCCACAAAAAAATACATCCTGATGTGTATTAGTAGAAACTTTTCTCAACGTAGCATGGCTTGCATTTCAAAACAAGTAAATGAGAGAGCCAGATTTCTTTTCCAACAAAAACTTTTTTCTATTTCACCACCAACTGATAGAGTTACTCACTCTTTACCTCTGACACCAGACGAAGAGCTTAATTAACAACAAGATTAATCCACATCGTAATACTCAATACTTACTCATCGCCATCATCAAAATTTTTAAAAAATTTATTTCTAAAAATAATGAATTTCTAAATTGGTTATCAATTTATTTTGATAGTTTTTTATTGAACGAAAGAACTCCCAGTAAGAGAGACCTGTTTTTGGCTACTGCCAAATTTTAATATACCGTCAATTCGTCTAAAAGAAATGTGCTTGAGCGGTGCCCCAGCAGATTACTGGCACAGTGATTCTTACTGCAAGCCGCTGCTTGGGGATACGGTCTTGTTCACCGGTGTACCAGTGGCAAGGCATACCGGCAATTTTACGCACCATTGGTGTACCAGTGGCAAGGCATACCGGCAATTTTACGCACCATTGGTGTACCAGTGGCTAGGCACACAGGCAATTTTACGCACCATTGGTGTACCAGTGGCTAGGCACACAGGCAATTTTACACCTGTTTGAACGGACCAGTATCTCTCGCCTGTTTGAACGGACCAATATCTCTCACCTGTTTGAACGGACCAATATCTCTCCCCTGTTTGAACGGACCAGTATCTCTCACCTGTTTGAACGGACCAATATCTCTCACCTGTTTGAACGGACCATTATCTCTCACCTGTTTGAACGGACCAATATCTCTCACCTGTTTGAACGGACCATTATCTCTCACCTGTTTGAACGGACCAGTATCTCTCACCTGTTTGAACGGACCAATATCTCTCACCTGTTTGAACGGACCATTATCTCTCACCTGTTTGAACGGACCAATATCTCTCACCTGTTTGAACGGACCAATATCTCTCCCCTGTTTGAACGGACCAGTATCTCTCACCTGTTTGAACTGACCAATACGGATTCCTGGTCCACTGATGTCAACAGCTGTGGCTACTTCCGCCAGAGCCTTCTGCTTGCTCTGAGACACCGCTTCGTGGAGATTGCGCAAGATCTTTGCGTGGTACTGGAAAAGCCAGTCAAAGAAGCTTTCATTTTTGATTTAGGAAGAGTTTTAAAGCACTTGCAACATGATTATGTCATGAGTGGGGAAGATAAGAGACGTTATAAAAGAGTAACATGCACAAAAAAAAGGAGGAGAGATAATGGCGATAGATGTTAGATAGAAAAGAAGGAGCAAATCACATCAGAGCACCCTCCAACCACCCACCGTTTTAGTTTGACAAGCAATGGTGAAAGCAGGCGCTCGTCAAAATAATGAAATCAAAGAAACAGTTTGACAATTCTTATCGATTTTTTTTTTGTGCTCAACTCCTTTTATGTCCATGTAAAAAACATATTTCCATGTGAATTTCACTGAAAAACAATGATTAAAGGCACACATTTTATTTTTTCAGTTTTCAAGGACTCTCAAGATACTGAAGTTATTGATCTTTGGTGACTGTTTTCTCACTAATTTTACCTCTGAAACCAGACCACATCCTTCAATGGCAAATATCTCGACTTCTATTCCAGACAGAGAGGTATTTTTTTCATCAAAATCAAGGCAAATGAACAAACTTTTAGATGATACCAATAAATCTACATGCCCAAGTATTGACGAGCGCCTGATTCCACAGTGTCATGACATATTTAAGCCACCTTCAAAAGTTATAAAAATAGCACTTACTTCGTGATCAGCATGAGCCAAATTGAAACGACAGATATTCATTCCATGCTCGATCATCTGAGACAGCGTCTCCACACTGTCACAGGATGGACCTACCAATGAGGAGATGGACAGTACATCATTTGTCCTCATAGGAAAAAGGTACTGTAAAATTCGGTCTACAAGCCACAACTTATTTCCTCAGCTTTAAACTGTGTGGCTTATTTGTGGATTTTCCTGATTACAGGAGCATCACACCCTTGTCTATTCTTGGCTTACAGTAGTCTCCGCCTAAACGCACGGTGCTCGGGAGGGCTCCTTAGCATGTGTTTATACGGAGCGTGCGTTTACATGAACCTGTGCAAAGGGAGGAAGGGACGCAGTCATCTCAATTCCTTATTACTCTAGTGACCCCCCTTGGAGGGTGGGGGTAATTTTGGCAGATAATGTGACTACACGTGACTGTTTTGGGAAGGATTCCCCGACTGGGCTTAAAAATACATTGGGGGGGGGGGGGAGAGAAAGACAGACTCAATGTAATGAATATTCACTGTAAGATAGCCTAAGAGGAAACTGTCGGTGATAGTCATAGTTATAGAGACGACGGCCCAACAACGTGGCTTTCCAAGCGACCAGCCCCGACGGTAAATTCATGGACGACATCAGCATCATGGACGTCTACATTCAGAAAAACATTTCTTTTGCGATTCGTTGAAAAAGTACATCTTAAGTTCTTCGAGCGCAGCTGATTAAGCTTACTTGGATATAGAGGCCTGTCTAGTGTTTTACGTGTGTCGCGCATCAGGCCTAGGTCTAACTTAACAATGACGTCACCCAAACAAACACCAGTCAGAAACCTTCTGACTCTCAAAGATACATTTCCAGTGACCAATCAAAAAACATTTCAGTCCCCCAATTCCCCCCCCCCCTCCCCCCAACGTTTCACCAACCAGGCCTAGACCTATGTGTCTGCGGAAAGTTGGGTGTGAAAACGCTGTCCATCACTCTCTGTGTCCGGTGTGAGGTGCAGTCTCACCAAATATCCGGTTTTCTGGACTAGTCTTATGTACGCTGTGCAGGTTGTAGTGAAAATTTCCACTTGTCAAGCTTAACCTGTCAGCGTGTTTCACGGATCGAAGCGTGCGTTTAGAGGGAGTGACCGTGCGTTTGTACGTCTAAATTATATAGTCAAAAACCCGTCAGATGACGAAAGCGTGTGTTTGAGCAGAGCACGATTTTGAATGGCATGTGTTTAGGCGGAGACTACTGTACACCTAAAACACATTTTCCTCAACACTACACTTTAGCATACACATAAAACATTAAAAAATTGACATATTAACATATTTTCCTTAACACCACACTTCAGCCGACACCAAAAACATTAAAAAGTTGACATTTTTTCCTCAACACCACAGTTTAGCGTAGGCCTAAGAAACAGTCCAACAGACAGGTGGGTACTTTTCGAGACTCCCGAATTTGTTGTGGTTTGTACACTAGAGCAGCTCATTAATTGTGAAACAAAATTCAGATTTAAACAAATTGCAGCAGGTGCTGCTTATACACAAGTGCGCTCAATAGCCCCAACTTTACACAAGTCTGAAAATGTGGTGATATAATATCTTGTTGCGTCTCTGTTCACTTGTTGTCTCATCTCTCAGGGCATTTATGAGTGTCACTCAGTGGGTCGTGTAGCTGTGCCGTGTCACATGGTGTGTCATGTAGCGGTGCTGTGTCGCAGTGTGTCATGTAGCTGTGCTGTGTGGCTCAGTCTGTCGAGTAGCTGTCTTTGTCAGTCGTTGTCTGCCACTCGAAAAGAGTAGTATTATACAAGTTTTGCATAATAAAGCCACACACACACACACACACACATATATGTATGCACACACACAAAATTAGATCAAGATGTGTAGACACTCTCACACACACACACACACACACACACACACACACACACACACACACAAACACATGCACACACATAAAATTAGATCAAGATGTGCAGACACTCACCGACAGTACAGATAATGTTAGTCATCCTGTATGGATGCGTCTCTTTGTACACATCCAGGGTACATATCTGCTGTAATGGCGTCATCCGTGTGCTCAATGTCGGGACGACAATGTTCGACAATTTACCTGACGATGTCATCTTGTGTTAGAATCCTAGGTGTCTGATCTGTGTCAACAAATAGAAAAAGCAAAATCAATTTTTCAAATAACACGGAATTCCAAAGCCTTTTCAAACAATCTACACCACAATCACAGGGTAGAAGGTAATTTTCTCTCTCTCTCTCCCTCCCTCCCTCCCTCCCTCTCTCTCTCTCTCTCTCTCTCTCTCTCTCTCTGAGAATATATATGAGGCATCGTGGTGAAATGAGGCGTTCATCAAAATAATGAAAGCGGAGAAATCAGCATTTTCCGGCCGTTCCATTTGGCAATATATTTTTTTTTTTTTTTTGGCTCAACACCTTGTATGTGCGTTAAAAAACACTTTTATGTGTGGATTTTATGGAAAAAAACATAGGTTAAAGGCTCAACAAATTTTAATTTGCAGTTTCCAAGAACTCTTCCTATGGAAATTTAATAACTTTTGCGGCCATTTTGTCCCTGATTTCACTTCTCAAATCAGGGGACCCCACCTTCTTCAATTGCAAATATCTCGACTTCTATTTAAAATAAATGGATATTATCTTTCATCAAAAGCAAGGCAAACGAACACCAACCTTTAAGATGCTACCAATAACTTTATATATGCCAAAAAATTGACAAGCAACTGATTCCACTGCGTTGTAACACATATAAAGTTTATGGACAAAGTGCCAATAACTGAGTCTATAATAATGATAATAATAAAAATAAAAAATATTATTAATAATATGAAAAATAATAATATGAATAGTAATTACAATATAAAATAAAAAATATATTATACATGCATAAATATAAAAAGTGTGTGCACATCCACACAATACTGCCTGCACTTTGCACTTTAACAACTATAATCTATTATTACCCCAGCAGATCGTAGAACACTCAGAAACATTCTCAGCTTCAAGGGAAGCATACAGTGCAGCAAGCTGCACATCACATGCACCCAAACAATAACAAATTGACATTATAAGATCTTTTACTGACTAGAGCTATAGGTGGGTACCCATAAGGGAAGTTTGTGTAAAAAGTAAGCGAAGTGCCTTTCCAGCCCTGGGACACAACACTGGGCCCCGTACGGACCATACGGATGTGGGTCCGAGGGCCTAACATCGCTACTAGGCCACCGATGCCATGCTAGAGCCCATTAGAGCTGGGGTATAAAGCAAGAGGGCACAAAACTTCCTCATTCGTCACGCACACGCCAATAATGGCAAAGCTCCCTGATGGTCGCCTAAATACTAAATCTTCAAATAAAATAGAAAGAAGGGAAACAAATGTGGTAAGCATTCTGGTGGCTACTAGGATCTGGACACCTGGACAGACCTCTAAAATAGACTACTTCCCTAGATCTATTCTAGACCTCTACTTCTAAGCCTATCACATCATCCAAGAATCTAGATCTCAGTAGTAATATTAAAGATGTGTAAGTTCCATCTATTATCTATTTTATTTTACTTTCACACATGTCTCATATTCAGATAATATTTCTGGTACTTTTCTTGTTCACTTTTATTGTTTTACACAAATTTAAACTTTATGTCACGTCCCAAATTATTCATTTTTTAGTATCAAATATTCTTATGCAAACTAGAACTATATATGTGTCACAACGCCGTGGAATCAGGCGCTCGTCAATTTTGGGGCATATGGAGTTATTGGTATCATCTTCAAGCTCGTGCATTTGCTTTGCTTTTGAAGGTAAAAAAGTCCACTTATTTCGGATAGAAGTCAAGATATAGGCGATTGAAGGAGGTGTGGCTCGCCTAGTTTCAGAGGTAAAATTTAATAAGCGAGAAAATGGCCGCCAAAGTTGAGTTATTTACTTCGCCTATTTACTTAGCTTGAGAGTCCGCAGAAACTGAAAATTTACATCTTATTTATGCCTTCAATCAACGTGTTTCAGTAAAATCCACACGGGAATATATATATACTCTTTAACACTTCCCCCATGGGATGTCGATCGGCGACGGAAAGCTTACCGTACCTTTTCCCAACGCGGCACCGATCAGCGACGGTGTGATAGCATATACCGGATCTGTATCCTGGTTCGTGGGGATAAAAGTGTTGCATGCTCTGTGCTCGCGTGGGAGGATAGTGTTAATAGTTAATGGGCATGAAAGGTGAGCTAAAAAAAAAATTTGATAAAAATTTCCCAAACCTGTGGGAAAAAAAGCCAGTTTCTACACTTTCATTATTTTGATGAGCGCCTGATTTCACTACACTACCTCACATATTTAAAATTACACTAGTCCTAACCTATATTGCATTCTATAATATTCCGTAGTTTTTAATAAATTGTGGTAGGCAGGTGCGCTCCCCGTCCCACAGTATGTTCTAGAAATAGATCTATTTCACCATAATTTGACTTTGACGTTTTGCAAAATAAGGACCTAGATCTAGGTCCGAGATTTTCTTGACAACAATTAATTTGTGTCAGTTTTATTGAATTGGCCATTTCCCGCACACAGATGCACTGCTTCAGAGGTCAAACTGCAGTACTGTATTGTTTGCAGCAGGTCACATATAAGGCCACTAAAACTGTCGCAAATCAATTATTTTCAAGAATATTTCAGATATGAAGCTACAGATAGAGCGCCACAAGTGCAATCTATTATTATTATTACAGCAAGCACCTAGCACACCTCTGTGATTGGCCCAAATATAGACGATGTACTTCCGTCATCTATTTTTTTCGTTTTCCAGGGTTTCCGCTAAGACTCTTGGGTTTCCCTCGCCAGTAACTGTTGACTAGACCTCGCCATGTTTTCTTTTTTTTTTTTTTTTTTTGTTCTAATTTGTGTATATAAACAATCTCAGCAATTCTCGTTCCATTAATTTACCTTTTTTCCTCAAAGCTGCACACACACACACACACACTCAAGTGTATGCGCACACACACACACACACGCACACACACAAACACAGGGCCCAAGCAGTCGGCGATGAAACCTCAGAAGTGACGTTGCCCATCGTGCACTAAGCAGCAAAGCAGGCCCACCACGGTGAGATCTAGATCTAGTCAACTGGCGAAGGAAGCCCCAGAAGAAGACAAAAATAGATGGGAGGGAAATATATGTGTCATTATATTTGAGGTGTGTTAGGTGCTCGTTGTAGCAGTGTAGCTTCATGAAAATTTCAGACCTAGATATCTAGATCTAACTGTAAAATATCAAATTATATATTATTATGTGTTAAAACAGGTGGACATGTCCCCTGAAAAACATGGACTGTATAGTCCGGGAACGTTGCCCCAACCACAACTGAAGTATCTGAATATTCAGAATTTAAAGTTCTAGAAATTGAATCCGAAGCAAAAAATGCTTCTTACCGGTCCTCGCAAAATGGCAGAATGAAAGATAGTGTCCAAATCTCGCAAATAGCCAAAAATTATTGAGATCGGATACCCTTTGGAGAAATAGAGTTCAACTTTATTTTCCCGAACGTTCGGAGAAATAGTCACTTCGAATACATTACTAGATCTAGAGTCTAGAATAGATCTCTATGCAGTCAGGCATAGATCTGGATCTAGAATCTAGATTCGGCGATTGTTAAAAGATCATCATCATCATCATCAGTGCCTTTCACCCCTGGCAGGACGTTTATAGACCGCATGACAAGCTCCTTCCATTTATCTCTGTCATGGGCCATCCTTCCTAGCTCGTTCCAAGTGAGCTTAAATATCTTTCTTTATGTCCCTTTCCACACATTTCCTCCATCTCGTGGCCTACCCCTGCCTCGTGCTCCAGGTGGGTTCCATTGCAGTGACTGTCTTCCCGCACATGCGATTTAAAAACGTATAAGGATGCAAACTATTTTAAGGTAAGGCAGCCATTTTGTGTGACGTCAGATCGGAACACCCCCTCCAATCACGTGACTATATAGCCAACGGGATGGCACGACGCTTTGGTGCAATGTTTTTCCAGGAATATTGGTAATGTGATATGATACGGTGCTCCGATGATGAATAGATAGTGTCTTTACGGTAGATCTAGAGGAAATGTTCAAAGAATGAATTCAATAGACGCAGTGAACCGGAAAATTAGGAAGCTCAAACCCGTCAATGTCTCAATGAGAGAAATTGTCGACATTCGTACGGTGTCAATACTGGAATTCTGAAATGTTATTAACATCGGGGTAAGATTGATGAATACCGGACCAGAGGACTGACTTTGCCTATGTCTCAACCTTAGGAACTCATGATTTTCACCAGTTTTTATCTCTCAATGGAGAATCTCGGACCCGTAGATCTATTCATATAGTTTTGTCAGGGGGGAGACCCCCCTGAA